TAGGAAGCAAAGGAGCTCTGGGGTGAGGGGATGGTTTCATGTCACCCCTTCTACTCCTGTGTGACTAGTTTTTTTTTTCATGGGGACCGCTTCACGAATTTGCATGTCCGCCTTGCGCAGGGGCCATGCTAATCTTCTCCGCATGGTTCCTCTTTTAGTACATGTGCTGCTGGAGCGAGCACGGGTGTGACTACTTTTAAGGTTTTATACCACTGCCATCCCCCAGTCACAAAGCTATGGTAGTCTCTGGATGGCTAGCCATTTTCTTTTTTTTTTTTTCCCCCCGGTATGAGAATTCGAACTCATGACCTTGCCCTTGCCAGGCAGGTGCTGTGCCGCTGAGCTAAATCCCCAGAACCGGGTAGCCATTTTCATTCACTTTGCAAACAGATATAAGTACAGTTGTTTATTTGTTTGATTGTTGAGACGGGGTCTCATTATGCAGTTCAGGCTGGTCTTGAGCTCAGTTTGTAGCCCAGGTTGGCCTCAAACTTGCAGCGATCCTCCTGCCTCAGCCTCCTGAGTGCTGGGATTACAGGTGTGCGCCACCACGCCTGGCTTACAGTTGTATCTTAGATGTCTAAAATATTTGTAAATGAAAACATCTGCAAAGGCTGGGGGATGTATTCAAAGGATGGCTGCTTGCCTAGCATGGTGGAGGCCCTGGATTTGATCCCCTAGCACTACAAAGAGAGAAGAGAAGAGGGGGAGAAAGGGAGACAGAGAAAAGAGCGTGAGAGAAAGATCAGAGGGAGAAGGAAGGAAGCAGAGAGGAGGGGGAAGGCAGGGAGGGAGGAAAGACGCCCGTGTGTGCTTTATGATGTGGATGCGTTCGTTCGCATCAAGCAATGAGCACCTACCACTTCCAGGCACCGTGCTGGGCCTCGGGGAGATGCATCAGGAGATAAAAGGAACACACGGCCCAGGAGGGGAGGCAGTGACCAGGGAGGATGCCCTGACACAGGGAGGATGAGGGGACCAGGTGGGGACAACTTTGTCAGTCACAGACTTCTCTGAGAAGGAGCCCCTGGTTCAGAGTCCAGGTAGAGAGAGGGGAGGGCACGATCATCAGCTCCGCCTAGAGGAGGCAAGCTCAGCGTCCAGAGACCGGAAGGAGCCTGGATGGGAGTAGAGGAGCGGCGGGGAGCAGACGCCTCCCTCCCGAGGACCCGGCTTGATGTAGGAAGAGGCTCAGCCGCAGGAAGGTTCCAGGCAGCGCGCTGCGTTCTGCTCCGTGGGGAGCACTCGCTGAGCCTCCGTGAGGAGCGCGGGGTCTGCGAGGGCAGGAAGCAGGCGGGGGACACGGCGTCTGTGTGCAAACACAGGCAAAGAGCGGATGAACTACAGCGAACTCTCTGCGAAGTGACCACGAAGCAACTTCTAATTTTATATCGGTACAGTTCGAGTTTGTAGCGCCGGGCATGTACTGATTTGGAACTTAGAATAAAGATGTTCAAGGAGATACCGCTCATCTGAAACCCGGACATTCCCAGTGAAAAGTAAAACGATGCAAAAGCCTGGCGTGGTGGCGCACGCGGGAGGCTGAGGCAGGAGGATCTTTGCGAGTTCAAGACCAGCCTGGGCTACAAAGTGAGTTCAAGCCCAGCCTGAACTGCACAGCAAAACCTTTTCTCAAAAAACAAACGAACAAACAAATACATAAATAAGTAAATAAACCGTGCAGCCACTGAGGAATATAACATGACACTTTCTCAAAAGATAAAGTGGAGAATTAGCCTCTGACCCAGCAATTCCACTGCTAGGTACAGAGCCAAAGAATGGCGAACAGGGGTTCAAACAGCTGTTTGCACACTTGCGTCCATGGCGGCGTTATTCCACCAGCAAAGATGGAATCAATCCGATGCCCTTCAATAGGTGAACAGATAAACACAGCGTGGTATGTCCACGAAATGGAATGTTTCGTGTACCCGTGTGTGTGTGTGTGTGTGTGTGTGTGTGTGTGTGTGTGTGGTATTGAACACTGAACCCACAGATTTATGCATGCTGGGTGAGCGCTGCACCGCTAAGCTGCCTCGGTAGGCCTTTCTTTAACCTTTAGGAGGAATGAAATTCTGACACATGCTTCAGCGTGGATGAACCCAAAATGCATTTTGCTAAGTGAAATAAGCCAAGAGGACACGTATTGTGTGACTCCACCAGTACGAACAGGCAAATTCACAGGGAGGGAAAGTGTGACAGGGGATTCCAGGGCCGGGGCGGGGAAAGAGGGAGAACTGCTTCCTGAGCACAGAGTTCCTGCTTGGATGGTTAAAAAAAAAGTTCTAGAAATGGACAGCGGTGATGGTTGTGAAAGCGCTCAATGCCACTGCGCTACAGTACTAAATGTGACGTCTCTTACCACAATAAAATCGAAGATGATATTAGATGCATGAGATATTTTCAATATGTAGGAAAAAAAGATAACCACTTAGTGCTGTAGTCAGGAGGTGCAAGGGGAACAATTCAATACAGGACACGTAATTACAGGATTATTTTATAATAGTCACCCAAAGAGTTTAGTACAAAAGAGTGCAGGAAACCTGTCCACACACTAAAGACCAAAAGAAGCCAGCTGAGGGCCTGGATCCCATGGAAATGTCCTGCCTGAGTCCAGCAGGAGGCCCAGAGCCCACGACAATGTCCCATGCAGGCCTGATTCACGGATGTGAGCTGGGAAGGCCCCAAGGTCAGTGGTGGAAGCTAGAAAGTCTGTGGCAGTGGGATGAAGGATCTGTGCTGCAGGCTGAGGGATCTGAACTGGGGCCGGGACGCAACCCTCAAAGTGAGGACCAGAGCTCCCCCAAAAGGTACCACGGCCATCCTCAGCGACAGCGAGGTCCTGAGCGCCTCTGACAATGAGAACAGCCAAGTCTTCATCAGGGAAGCCTCAGCGGCCAGCTCCTCCCGGACACTGAACAGTGCACCACCTTCCCCTCCGGAGTTAGGATGCCCGAAGTAAGCATCAGAGCGCCCCCGGGTGAACCACGCCGTCCTCAGAGACAACAAGGTCCCCAGCTCCTGCGATGCTGAGAACATCAGGAAAGCCAGCCTGACAGGCTCCTCCGGGAGAAACAACAGCCCCAGGAGAGCCGGCAGCTCCCTGACAGCGTCACTTTTTCCTCTTCAGTTCTCGTTTTTCTGCTGCCGCAACGGTCCTCGGGGGGCTCCCACAGCCAGCACCACGCTGGTGAGTCCGGCCGGGCGTTACAAGCTGACTACCAGCTGTCAATCTGCCATGCTTGGGAACAGTCAGGAAACAAATCTCTTCCCAAAACTGTTCAGAGAAAGGCCACCTTCCAAAGATGTGGGGAGGGATCTGGATGGGCTCATCTATGCTGTTCCGAGGTAGCAGAATCGTACATCGAAAACTCTCCGCTATTTAAAAAGAAATGCCCATCCTATGTGTATCGGTCAGGGTTTTCCTAGAGAAACAGATGTAACACAAAATATGCAAATGCACGGGAAATGACAAGATTGGCTTACGACGGTCAGCCACAGAGTGGATGAGGAAGTGTGCAGAGGGTGTCTGCACACTGGAGACCAGAGCATTCAGTCCAGGGTCTGGAGCTCACTGCGGTGTCCGTGCAAGTCCGTATCAGGAGGCCGATGTGTCTGCGACAGAAGGCTGAAGGATCCAAGGTGGAAGCCGAAGAGTCTGCACTAGAAGCCGGGAGACGATGCCCAAGCTGAAAGCGAAAACTGGAGCTCCTCTGAAGAATGGAACCTTTCTGTCCTTCCTCATTTCCCTTTTTTTTTTTTTGGCTTTTTGAGACAGGGTCTCACTATGCAGTTCAGGCTGGCCTTGAGCTCACTTTGTAGCCCAGGCTGGTCTCAAACTCGCAACGATCCTCCTGCCTCAGCCTCCCGAATGGGTCAGTGAGCTGTACGAAAGCAAGTCCTCATTTCTCTGGGATAAAAGCCCAGGAGCCCTGCTGCTGGGCCTGATGCTGTGTGTGTATTTAACGGTGTAAGAAACTCTGTTTTCTAGAACAGAAGTGCCATTTTACATTTCCAGTCGTTACCATCTTTATTATTATTATACTAGCTAAAAAAGCTGACTCTGAGATGGGTTGGCGTCTGGAAGGCTGGTCACTGTGGCTGCTTGTGATCCCATCACGCCGTCGGCAGGAGCTGCACGGGGTTCCCTTTTGCACACAGGAGCCAGGTCCGGGGCCCACAGGCTTAGAGACCTGCACGTTATGGGCCTTATGGGCCGGCTCCCCAGGCCTCGCCCCGCGGGGTGTAGGGAAGGGTCCCCAGGCAACCCTCAGCTGGGCCCAGCAGGAAGCCGGGGTCGAAGCGCTGAGCCCAAGCTGGAGGTCAGCCTGGAACTGAGGCTCTTCACAGCGCTGTACCCTGAAAAGTTAATTTCTAAACACGGACGCTCCGCACTCCTTCTCTTGAGCAGCAGCGTCTTATAGCCTGGAATAAAAATTCTTTCTTTCTTTTCTTTCTTTTTTTTTGACTTTTTGAGACAGGGTCTCGCTATGCAGTTCAGGCTGGCCTTGAGCTCACTTTGTGGCCCAGGGTGGTCTCGAACTTGAATCCACGCATGCTATAAGATTTCATAAAATATACACCAAAATGGTGAGGAGCATGAATGCCCGTTTGATGAGCTTCTGTTATGTTCCAACATTGTTTTTGTTTATTTGTTTGTTTTTCAGTGGTGGTGGAGGTGCTGGGGCCCAAGCCCGGGATCTCACCGTACTGGTTTTTTGTTTGTTTGTTTGTTTTTGTTTTCTTGTCTTTTTGAGACAGGGTCTCGCTATGCAGTTTAGGCTGGCCTTGTACTCACTTTGTAGCCCAGGCTGGCCTCGCACTCACAAAGATCCTCCTGCCTCAGCCTCAGTGCTGGGATTACAGGCATGCTCCACCACACCAGGCACTGGCACCAGGCTTTTTGCCTGTTCTCACGGGTCCTAGAAGAGACCCAAGCAGCAAAATCGGGAGCCTACATCGTTCCCAGGAGGAGTCGCCACCTCAGCGGAGCATCCCGCGGCGGCCAGAGCTGCACGTAGGCGGGGGCGCGGAGAAAGGAGGGGAGCATGCGCAAAGAGCCGGGGTGCAGTTCGGCGGGAAGGTGCGCGCCTAACCAGCCCGAGAACCGGGTTCCGTCCGCAAGATGGGGCGGGTGGGATAAAGGAAAGGAAAAGGGAAAAATCAGCAGAGCGCTGAGACGCAGAGGAGCAAATGACAGCAAAACTCCAGACAGGTGGATGCCAGGGCCGAGGGCAGGGCCGCCTTCAAACGGCCCTTGCGTTTCAAAGAAAGTCAGCAGTTCAAGGCCAGCGTCTCTGCGGGGCACCTGCCTTCCTCCCGACAGACAGAGCGAGGGACGCCGCTCTTGTGCTCGGATGTTAACAGGGACTCCACTTACAGGTCTAGAATCACCATTTGTAGTTGATCTGGGAGTCTCCTGCAGAACTTGGCTCGGGAAGGCGTTTCGGAAGTGTTTGTTGAGTGAATGAATGAACTGCCAGAATCTGACACAAGGGTGGTGGACCGAGACACCTCAAGAGGTCAGGCAGACCATACCCAGGGTCAGGGTGGGTCGGGGGCCGTGAGGCCAGGAGTAGAGTCAGTACGTGTGCCACGGCCAAAGGGACAGCCGTGGGCGGGCCTGGGCCACGTGCTGCTGTGCGGGAGGGCGGGCCACCTTCGGCCGCGTCTGGCTTGTCACAGCAGCCAGCATCCGGGCTATGAGGATGAGTTCCTGATCTCCGACGCTGCGGACTAATTTTAAGTTTTTTTTAATTAAGCGGCGGCCAGAGGAAACACGCGTGCGCGATGAACACGGCCGGGGCGCGTGGCTTAGAACTCCGACCGCGGGGCTGGGGATTTAGCTCAGCCGCACAGCGCCTGCCTGGCAAGCGCAAGGTCATGAGTTCGATTCCCGGTACCGGAGAAAAACAAAAAACAACAAAAAAAAGAACTTCGACCGTAACCTCAGGACGTTCCGGAGTTTCTAATGCTACGTCAGTGATATTGCCGATGACTGTCAGGCAGAAAGGTCAACAGCTGCTCTCCCCCACTGTCACCGGCGGTCGTAGCCGCCATCTGCGTGGTTTTGTCCCCCAGCATCGCACTGGGAGAGGCCCAGAGAGCAGGTAGGATCTTGGAATCCTGGCGGGAAGGGACAGGGCACAGACAGCCTGTGACTGCGGGCTGCTTCGTCATAGGGTCCGTGTATAACTTGGGCCCTCATGAAAACGTCTTTTTTTGCCAGCTGTGTTGGTAATTCCAGCAGCAATTCTGGAATTACCAGCAATTCTGGTAATTCCAGCTGAGGCAGGAGGATCGCATTGAGTTTAAGGCCAACCTGGGCTACATAGTGAGACCCTGTCTCAAAAAACCAAAATAAGTCAATAAAAATAAAAAGGAAAATCATGGGACCAGCAGCTTCTTCCCATCCCATGCTCCTTCCCTCCCTCCCTTCCTCCTCGTCCTTTCCTCAGCAACTCAGTCTAAAGAGTCAGGGGACGCTGAAGGACAAGGCAGGGGCCCAGCAGAGGGGGGGCACCCACATTAATGAACATGAATGATTCTGACACAAATCAGAGCCCACACTGGTGCGAACGTGGGTGCAGGACCCGCGCAGAGGGGCACCAGAGCCCCGTCAGGAAGGAAGTGTCGCTGTCAGAATCACAAAAATGCAAAGAGAGATGCCTAGAACAAACCCTCTGGTGCCAGTTGAGCACATCAACCTGGACTCATGGTTCTTGTGTAGGTAGAGAGCTATAACAAATAAATATAGGGGGTGTGGCTCAGTGGCCTGGCATGGCGAGGCCCTGGGTTCCATCCCCAGGTTTGCTAAATAAATAAATAAAAGTAATAAATGAGCTGGGCGAAGTGGCACACGTCTGTAATCCCAGCACTCGGGAGGCTGAGGCAGGAGGATCAATGTGCGTTCGAGACCAGCGTGGGCTACAAAGTGAGCTCAAGCCCAGCCTGAACTGCACAGTGAGACCCTGTCTCAAAAAGACCAAAAAACAAAAACAAAAACAAAAAAATAATGAATGAGCCAGGTGTGGTGGCTCATGCTTGTAATCCTAGCACTGGGGAGGCTGAGGCAGGAGGATTTTGCAGAGTTTGAGTCCAGCCTGGGCTACAAAGTGAGCTCAAGGCCAGCCTGAATTGCATAGCAAGACCCTGTCTCAAAAAGACCAAAAAAAAAAAAAAAATGCTTAGTAAGTATGGCACTTTGGCTTTGCTAAGTAAAAAATTCTGTGGGGCCGGGGATCTAGCTCAGTGTACACCCCCTGCCTAGCAAACATGAGGTTCTGAGTTCGATTCCCAGTACCAACAAAAAAATTCTGTGGATAGAAAGTGGTGTGGTTCCACAATGCAAATGTGCCTCATGCCACTGAACTGCACACTTAAAATTAGCCAAGATAGTAAATTTCATGGTGTGTTTTCCTACAATTTTTGGCACAAAGGCTCAAACCTAGGTCCTCATGAACTCGGACCATGTGCTGTACCACAGAGCTATACCTCTAGCTCCCACAGCAATTTTTATCGGTAAAATATAAGAAGTATTGGTGTGACCCACATTGCCCAGCGATGTCCACCACAAGAAATGGGGCACCGCCTCACCCCAGCGTGAGCACCCATCGCTTTGAGATCTTTTTTTTTCTTCTTTTCTGTCTTTTTGAGACAGGGTCTCGCTATGCAGTTCAGACTGGCCTGGAGCTCCCTTTGTAGCCCAGGCTGGCCTCGAACTCGCAACGATCCTCCTGCCTCAGCCTCCCGAGTGCTGGGATTACAGGCGTGCACCACCACGCCCGGCCGCATTGAGATCTTGATGGGTACAACCCATTTTCACCAAAAAGTTCCAGAGTCCTCAGAGAACTGGCCGAGTCCAGGGCTGATCTAGCAGAAAGGTGAATGAGCCTGGAACAACTTGTACCAGAAAACTCAGGTTGCCGGGCAGACAGGCCTGGCAACCAGCTCCAATGGGCTCCCGCTGGCCAGACCGGGAAGAGTTTAATCATCGAAATACACAGCAAGATTGATAGATCCCAGCCCGCTGAAGGCACACGTCCACGCGGACAGAAATAAGTCGCTCACTTACCCGCGCTCGGAAGGGGGTGAGGCAGCTTTGGAAGATGGAAGATGCTCCCCCTCTTTGTTTTTTTTTTTTGTTTTTTTTGTTTTTTTTGCGCTTTTCCTTTATTTTTGTCAAATGCTGCAAGTGGACAGGACGGGACACTCAGAGCAAGCTGGAGGCCCTGAAAATTCCTAGAGAGAACAGCCAGGATATATGGGCTTCTGCGATCTGCCGGGCGTCATTTCCTGCCTCTCCCCGCGCTGGGGGAAGGGGAGATGCGGGGCTCTCGGGAGCACGGGGCGGGGGGCGAGGAGGGCAGGCGGGAGGCGGGCGGGGCGGGGGCCTCCCGCAGAGCGAGGTGCCCCACATCTGGTTCCCATTGAAGGGTGAAAACAAGCGGGTTTCGGAGCTGGACGAAGCCCAGCAGCCTCGGCCAAGCCGTGTGGCTTGGACAGCAGGGCCGGCATCACCTCCTCCCTGGGTCACCAGGCCTGGCCGCGCCCCCAAGGTCTCGCAGAGGGGACGGGTTGGAAGGAGGCCGCCCTACCGGCTTAGAACCGCGTTCTCCGGGCCCAGCTCCGCCTGATGTCCAAAACAGCCCGGGCCCGGGCCGGCCAGGCCGGCGCTGCAGCGGGGTGACTCACGGGCCGCACGCCTCCGCCCCGCCTGGGCAGGCCCGCTCTTCACTGTGCACCCTTCAGCTGCCGTCCCAGCGTCTCTGAGCCCGGGTCCCCCAGCGGTAAGACAGGAACAACAGCTCCTTCACAGGGCCGAAGCTGGCCTGGTAGGGCGCCGGGGCCTGAGGCTGTGGCACCAGGAAACGCTCGATCGTGTGCACCATTCCCGCTGGGCATCTGGATACCAGATCCCTCTCCTCTGCTGGGTGCGAGGAGTTCTCGGAAGCTGGACACGGTGGTGGTGGTGCGTGCCTGTCATCCCAGGGGCAGGAGGGCCGCAGGTTCAAGCCCAGCCTGGGCAGCTTGGAGACTTAGCCAGACCCTGTCTCAACAAACAAACAAAAAACATCTGGGGATGCAGCTTGGTGTGAAATCCCTGTGTTCAGTCTCCGGTACTGCAAAAAAGAGAATTAGGAGCAAATAGCCCTTTTCTCCAGGCCGGGTCTTAGCAGACAGGGTGCTCCCTGCAGCTCTAGGAAGTCTCCTCGGCCGCTCTGACCCTGTTTCTTCTCCATGGGTGCAGGCTTCGCCCTGTCCCGCGCGGGTGTTTGTGGGGACAGAAGCTGGGTGTGAAGCTGGGGAGTCGGAAGCCAAGGTCCCTAGAGGGCTGCCCGCACCCACCGGGCGATGCATCTCTTCCCCAGGCCGTATTAAGTGCTTGGAGAACAGTCCGCAGGTTGAAGGCAGGCGTGTGCGGGAAGTGACGCCTCGGCTGCCCCGCGCTGGCCCTTCCCCGCCCAGCGCTAGCTCTTGCTTCCTCCGCAAGAGCAAGGCCAGAAGGGCCGAGCCCAGGACGCAGCTTCCTGGGGCTTTGCGGGAGGAGGTCGAAATCGGGGAGGCGTGTTACACACTGGCAAATCCTTACGCCTCATCCTGCCTGTTTTCTCCTCTGAAAGTGGCTGATGGACACACCGGCCGCAGGGAGCCGCGGCCACGGCGTAAGCGGCCTACTTAGAACAGTGCCCGGCGCGTAACAAGCACGCAGTGAATAAATGCTCCCGGTTCTGCTGTTAGCTATCTTTTCATAGCTCTCCCCGCTAAGCAAACCTGCTGAGCAGTTCACAAGTTGCCCGAGCTCAGCTCTGACTTCCTGGGACTCCTGCAGGACAGAGACCAGCTCCCACCTGGCTTTTCTCCCCTACTTTTGTAAATGAGGTAAGTGAGCCTGAGAGATCAACAACTAATCCAGCCGGGCATAGGGGCACACACCGATAGTCCCAGCAAGGGAAGGTGAGGCAGGAGGGACACAAGTTCAAACCCAGCTTGGGCAACTTATAGGTCCTGCCTCAAAGCAAAAATAAAAGCCAAGTGTGGGGTGCATGCCCGTAATCCCAGCACTCGGGAGGTTCAGGCAGGAGGGTCTCTGAGAGTTCAAAGCCAGCCTGAGCCGCATAGTGAGACCCTGTCAAAAACACAAAAGAGCGGGGCGTGGTGGTGCACACTTGTAATCCCAGCACTCGGGAAGCTGAGGCAGGAGGATCTTGCAGAGTTCGAGACCAGCCCAGGCTACAAAGTGAGCTCAAGGCCAGCCTGGACTGCAGAGTGAGACCCTGTCTCAAAAAAAGACTAATTAATTAACTTTTTTTAAAAAAGGCTGAGACTGTCACCAGGTGTGAAGTCCTAGATTCTATCCCCAGAACCAAAAATCAGAACATTTAATCTACTTTTATGCCCCAGCCAGGCAACCCTGCCTGTAGGGTCACATTAGAATCCAGTGATTAAATCTAAATCCCCCTCGTCACCAGGACCCCCATACACGTTACACCCTTCTCCTGCTCCAAAAACTGCATCAAGCCCTTGCTCCCCTGCGTTCACCCATTTAATGACCAGCCAGGCGCTAACCACCCCTCACCCCCAGGCTTGCGCAGTTTATCCAACCAACACACAAGAAGCTTTCTCTGCAAGCCCTGTTCTCGAAACGCTGAACAAGAAAAGGGCCAAAAGAAAAAGCAGGCCTCCCCTCCGCTGTGAAATTGTAAGTAAAGCCTAGAATAAGAAAATAGAATGTATATGTAATTATAACACGCATATAATGATTATATATTAGATATATGTCAATATTCAGTGTCATAAATTTCCATACATAGATTTCTATCGTCATCACTCAAAGGCTACCGGAAGTCTCGAGGAAAATGAGACACATCATTCATTCTTTGCGTGCCAGAAAGAGCTAGAAGAGTACCATTACAGAGGGCCATGGTCTCGCAGAAGCAGCTGTTGAATCTGCTTTATGATCAGAACCGGACTGAGTGGAGGTGGAGACTGGGGACAGGCCATTTAGAGATTCTGAGTTAAACAAGTCTACACAGCCTGAAAACTAGTATGCTCTCAAAAAATCTCTCTAAGGCCAGGAATCTAGCTCAGTAAGGACATAGCTCAGAGTATAGCGCCTGCCTGGCAAGTGCAAGGTTCTGATTCCCACTGCCAAAAAAAAAACCTCTCTCTGAAATGTACTTTTTAGGTTTTTTTTTTCTTTTGGAGACAGGGTCTTACTATGTAGCCTGGTTTGGCCTTAAATTTACAGCAGTCGTCCTGCCTCAGCCTCCTGAGTGCTGGGACTACAGGTGTGCCCCACCACTACTGGCAAACTTGGACTTTTAAACTACCACTAATCGGAAGCGTACTTGAGAGCTAAGCATCTCTTGGAAACTCCTCTACAGTTAGGTACTAGCTGTGTCCCCATTTTGCCAAGTTGGAAAGCAGGGCACAGAGCAGTTAAGCAACTTGCTGCCAATCACACAGCAGCTAGGCGTCCCACCCTGGGTTGAAACTCAGATTTGTGAGTCAAGAGTCCAGGCTCCTAACCCCTAAGCTCTACTGCCTCCCTGTGGTGGTTTTCCCAGGTCATGGGGAGCTGGCTCCACAGACATCTCCCTACCAGGGAGCTCGCAGACCCAGCACCCTGCACCAGGATTTCACAGGAAACCCTGCGCAGGCGTTCACAGCCCCAGCAAGCGTGGATAGGGACCTGCTGTGGGAAAAAGCCAGCGTTGTCGGTTTTGCCAGTAACTTCCACTCTCTCTGCCTAGACCATTACAAGGAAGACAAATCTCCTCACCTCCCTAGCTGAAACCAAAATAACCCTGTCTGCTCTCAGCACCCGTGGGCAGCCGCGCAGAAGCTGGGGCAGTGGGCTCAGGTCCCAGGGACTCTGGCCTGGCCTGGCCCAGCGTGGTGCTTGTTTTGAAACCCAGATCTGCACTGGATTTTAGGCAAATTATTGTTCCTCATGACCATGATTGATTAATTGATTGTCTTTTTGAGACAGGGTCTCAGTATGCAGTTCAGGCTGGCCTTGAGCTCACTTTGTAGCCCAGGCTGGTCTCGAACTCGCAATGGTCCTCCTGTCTCAGCCTCCCCAGTGCTGGGATTACAGGTGTGCGCCACCACGCCCACCTACGACCATGTTTTAGAAAGCGAGGAATGTGACTTTTTGGTCCCCCATTAAAACTTTCAAAGCTTCAAGCAAGTGTTTTTGGCTGTTCCTTGGGGTCACTGTGACGGGGAGTCTGACCTAAGGGCAGTGAGCGCACGGGCGCCTGCGACCCAGATTAGAATCCAACGGACCAGGTCTGGGTAGGGTGGACTCAAAGGTTGACTCAGTGGCTTACTATTTCCCAGGAAAGTGAAAGAGTACAAAACAGACCCAGGAAAGACGAGGGAAAAGAAGGGAAGGGGCCCCTGAGGAGGTCCTAGGCCCCAGAAGACGTTAGGATGAGGGGTGTGAACTTACAAATAAATAAATCTTTAACATAAAGACAAAGGGGAGCTGGGCGGTGCCATCCCAGCACTCTGGAGGCTGAGGCAGGAGGATCACAAGTTCAAACCCAGCCTGGCAAATTAGCAAGACCGTCACAAAATAAAAGCGGGGGTGGGAGACGGCTCCGTGCAAAGGCCTTGGGTTCAATCCCCAGTACTGGGGGAAGAAAGGGACAAAGAAATCAAGTTTCGGTGCTGTCTCCGAATGACATCTTTCAGCGTGAAGTCTGCGGGGACCCTGTGGGATCAGCAAGGCGGAGCTCCGGGGGCGCTGATGACAGCGTCTCATCCTCTCACCTGGAACGAGCCACCCAGCCCCACAACAGCCCCAGGCGGGGATGAAGGGTTTCCTCGGAACTCGAGACTGAGGCTCAGCGAGGTTGAGGAACTTACCCGAGAGCCCAGCACGCTAGTGGCCAAGACGGCCGACGCTGACACTCCCAGCCACCACCTGCCCCAGCCCCCTTGTCGGGGTCAAGGTCGGGAACTTTTCCTTCACTGCTGAAAACTAAGGTCTGGCCCCACTCGTGCCTCTGGTTCCGCAGAACCTTGGACATATTATTTCCCTTCTCTGTGCCTCATTTTACCCACTGTAGAAAGAGGAAGTGAAATGAGAAGTCTCTGATGTCCCCTCAACTTTAACTCCACGACCAAGATGGGCCTTGAATTGACAAAGTTGGTGCCCCAAGGTTCTGAGGGTTTTTTTGTTTGTGTAGCGGGAATAGAACTCAGGACCTTAGCGCTTGCCAGGCAGGTGCTTGTGCCGCTGAGCTACATCCACGGCCCTCGGAGTGTGTCCGTAAAGTTGTACACCTGTGTTCATAGGGCTCTGAGCTTTCACTGAGATCATCCTACAGTCCGTGCCCCTCTCTTGGCGCAGTGTGCGTGTGTGTGTGTGTGTGTGTGTGTGCGCGCGCGTGCGTGTGCCGCGCGAGGAGGACTCTCTGCGCCTCTGCGGTTTGCGCCCGGCACTCCCCTAGGCACCGCTGCGCGCAGAGGAGGCGAAGCCCTGTCCCGCGCATGTGCGCCCCCAGCTCCTGCGGACCGCGCCCCCGTGAAGCCGCGCGCGTCCTCCACCTTCTCGCGCGTCCGCGAGGCCCGATGCAGTCTCAGATGGTGGCAAAGCCTGAGTCCCTGAATGAGGACCCCTGCCCTTCCGCCCGCACCGGCAGGCCACAGCAAGGGCTGACCGTCTGGGGTCCAGCCGCTGAGACTTGGGGCTGCCTGGCCTATAAACGAGGGTGTTCGCCAATCAGAGAAGGGAATGATCCGCGCAGGAAAGTGATCGGGGTGAGGGGTGACACTTAAGACAGGGTTATGAAGAGAGCGGGTGAATCCTCTGTGAGACAGGTGGGGAGACCCCTGTGCGAAGAGGAGGCAGCTGATGCAAAGGCCCTGAGGCAGCAACAAGGAGCGTCTGAAGCATCTCCCAGGCGCACAGTGAGCTCGCGGAGCCAGGAGCCAGTTCACCAGGCTTTGCAAGCCGCCTGCAGGCTTTCCCGTGTGTGCGGGCTGCCACCCAAGGGGACTTGCGC